AAGGGTGACAGACAAGCTTGGAAATTCTGTCCTTGTCTCAGCAGAATATCCTCGTCTTCCCCCCTTGTGTAGTTTGTGTGGTGAATTTGGGCATTTTCAGCTCCGGTGTCCTGATGCAGTTGCTCCTCCTATTCACCTTGCTCCTCGGGTCGGTCCTGTCTCTTCTTCGGCCATGAAAATTTCACCTCCTCCTCCCGCTACGGTTTCCGCTGTGTCTTCTGTCCCTTCTCCCTTGGGAGTCCCTGTTTGTAGTCTTAATCGGTCTAAAAGTCTACCTTCTTGTCAAGAGGTGGATAATGGGGATAATGAGAGTAGTTGCTCTGGTGAATGGACTCGTGTTGCTCGAAGGTCTAAGCCTCCTCGTCCCGCTTCTGTTAGTCAAGAATCTATTCATCATGTTACTTCCTCCCAGTTTGCAAAGGAGGAAGAGTTAATCAAAGCTGCTCAGCTCGTTCTCCGGAATCGTAACGTCTCCTCTTGTGTTGGTGTTTCCTCCTTAGCCCCAGTTTTATCTCGTAAGAAAGCGCGTAAAAAGCATCGTAATATGCTTTATCAGCTCTCTACCTCTGCTTCTGGTTCTTCTTCACCGCATCCGGCTAATCTTTCAGTTTCATTACCTAGTTCTCCACCAGCAGAACGTTCGCCTTCCTGCGACGTTCCTTTTTTAAGAGCCTAGGCTCTCGGATAGCCCCATTTTTTGACTTCTTATGAAGTGCTTTTGTTGGAATGTTAGGGGCCTTAACGGCGAAACAAGACAATTACTAGTTAATAGGTGGATTACCACCAACCGTCCTTTAATAGGCGGCCTTTTGGAAACTAGAGTGAAGCGAGAAAATTTACCCGGAATCATGTCTCGGTCATTTCCAGATTGGAATTATGAAGCTAATTATTCCTCTGATGAAGATAATGGTCGGATTGTAGTTATGTGGAGGCCTCATCTTTCAGTTGTTACTTATTTCAAATCAGATCAGATGGTTCTTTGTGGAGTTTTCAACCCTTCTTCTAAAGAATCTTTCTCGGTGGCCTTCATTTATGCTCACAACAGCCATCAAGATAGGATCCCCCTATGGAATAAGATTAATGATTTGAACTCCTCCACTCTTTTGCACAGCTCCCCTTGGCTTTTAATAGGAGATTTCAACCAGTTTCTTTCTATGTCAGAAGTTTTTTCTTTATCCCCAAGCAACATTTCTCTTATTGGATTGTCAGATTTTCAAGATTGTTTGACTACCAATGAATTGTTTGATCTTTCTTTTAGAGGTTGTCTTTACACTTGGAGAAATAAAAGCCCGACAAATCCCAAGTGTCGGAAGTTGGATAGAGCCTTAATCAATGAATCATGGCAAAACGTGTTTCCTGATTCTAATGCTTTTTTTGATGCTCCAGGAAGTTCTGACCATTCTCCTTGTCTTGTGACCATTTCAAATTCCTCTTCCAGAAGGAAATCAAGGTTTAACTTCTTTACCTTTTTCACTACTCATCCAGATTATGGGAGGTTAATTCACGATGCTTGGCAAGGTCCTGTGCATGCAGTAATGCCAATGGCAATCTTGTATCAGAAGTTGAGGTTGGCGAAGTTATGTTGTAAGTCATTAAATCAGAGTACTTTCAGTAATACCCAAGCGAGAACAAAGGAGTCTTTTGAGAGATTGGAAGCTATTCAAAGGCAAGTTTTACAGCACCCTTCTCAGGCCTTGTTTTTGGAAGAGCAAACTGCGAGAGCATCTTGGCTTCATTTAGCTGCTGCTGAAGAAAGTTTCTTTCGGCAAAAATCAAGAATTCGTTGTGTCATGGAAGGGGATGCAAATGATGGTTACTTCCATAAATCAGTGAAAGCAAACTTGTCCAGAAACGTCATCCATTTTCTGCATAATGGTTCCAATCAAAGAATTTCAGATCCTTCTCAGATCAGGTCCATGGTTATTAATTTCTACACTAATCTCTTGGGGACTTCAGATTCTTATGTTCTGCCTTATTCTATCTCCCAGCTTCAGAGTATCCAGCCTTATCGCTGTTCTGATTCATCTTCAGATAAGCTTTCTGCTTGCCCCTCTGATGAAGAGATAAGGTCCATAGTTTTTTCTCTTCCAAAGAATAAAGCTCCTGGTCCCGATGGGTTCACAACAGAGTTTTTTACTTCTTCTTGGGATCTAGTGAAGGAAGACTTTCTCAAAGCAATTAAAGATTTCTTCATAAACTTCTCTTTGCCAAGGCAAGTAAATGCTACAGCTATTTCTTTGATCCCAAAAGTGGTTGGTGCAGCTTCCCTCTCAGATTTTCGCCCTATTTCTCTCTGCAATACAATCTACAAATTTATCTCTAGAATCTTAGCTTCTCGTCTTAAGGAAGTGACTTCTGAAATAGTTCAAAGGAACCAAGTTGGATTCATTAAAGGAAGATTACTTTGTGAGAATGTTTTATTAGCTTCTGAACTGGTAACAGATTTCCATAAGCCTGGTCCTTGTACTAGAGGCTGCTTGCAAATCGATATATCGAAAGCTTATGATAGTGTGAATTGGGTTTTTCTTCTGAACATTCTAGAAGCTCTTCATTTTCCAGATGTTTTCATAGCCTGGATCAGATTGTGCATAACTTCCCCATTTTACTCAGTTGTACTTAATGGAGAATTGGTGGGGTTCTTCAAAGGGAAAAAAGGGTTACGTCAAGGAGATCCTCTGTCGTCCTCACTGTTCGTGCTAGTAATGGATGTTCTCTCGAAGGATCTTGATCTTGCCTTAAGCAATGGTGTTTTTGGAGCTCATCCACTTTGTCTGGACCCTGTTATTACACATCTTAGTTTTGCAGACGATGTCCTCATTTTCTTTGACGGCTCAGAACGATCTTTAACTGGTATTCTGGATACTTTGTTAACGTTTCAACGTGCTTCTGGTTTGGGTCTAAATTTGAAGAAGTCTTGTTTATTTTTGGATGGTAACAATTTGGGTTTGGCACGGGAATTAGCTACAAGATTTGGAATGACCCAAGGATCCCTTCCAGTGAGATACTTAGGTTTACCTTTGCTGCCTCATAAGCTTCGTCCCCAGGACTATCAAGTCTTGATCGATAAGGTTCTGGACCGTATCTCTTCTTGGAGAACAAAGCATTTATCTTTCGCTGGGAGGCTTCAACTAATACAATCTGTTCTTTACAGTATTATTAATTTTTGGGCTACTGTTTTTCCATTACCAAAGGGTTGTCTTACTACTCTTGGCAGAATTTGTAATGCTTTTCTCTGGAGTGGTGCCCCAAATTCAGCAAGAGGAGCAAAGGTTGCTTGGGACACAGTTTGTACTCCTAAGGAAGAAGGAGGTTTGGGGTTGAGGAATCTTCATGATATTAATCAGGTTTTTGGGCTGAAATTGATTTGGCTACTCTTTGCTGGGAATGGATCTCTATGGGTTGCTTGGATTGAAAAGAAGGTTTTAAATGGGCGTCACTTCTGGTCTTCTGACTTTCAACTATCAGGAAGTTGGATATGGAGGCAGTTGATGAAACTCAGAACTTTAGCTCGTCCTTTTCTTGTCTGTCAAATTCGTTCTGGAAATTCTGCCTTCTTTTGGCACGACAATTGGACTAACCTAGGACCTTTGATTGACATCACTGGATCTAATGGACCTAGGGTTACCGGTATTCCAACTTTGGCAAAGGTTTCTCAGGCTTGTGTGGCAGGTTCCTGGCTTCTTTCTCGCGGGAGACATCCTATTTTGTGTCTCCTGCGGGATTGTCTCCCTGCTCACACACCGGACAATTCAAATGAAGATTCAGATTTTTTCTTGTGGAGAAATACTCTCAATCATCCTCCTGGTATTTTTTCTACTTCCCAAACCTGGCTTTCACTACATCCTCCATCTCTCCGTGTTCCTTGGTTCAAATCTGTTTGGTTTAAGGAAAGAATCCCGAAGCATGCTTTCATTCTTTGGCTTACTATTCAGGACAGATTAACTACGCGAGATCGATTAAGACGTTGGGGACTAAATGTTCCGAGTGAATGTTTATTATGCGCCTCAGCAGATGAATGCAAATCCCATTTGTTCTTTGTTTGCCCTTACTCCTCTGAGGTTTGGCTCTCTTTCTTTGGTCATTCTGGTTTAAATCCTCCTGCCTTGTTTGAAGACATTGTCAATTGGGTTCGTTCTTCTTCCCAGAATAAGAAAACTCGATCTATTTGTAAAATCATCTTCCAAGCGGTTGTTTATGCGTTGTGGAGAGAAAGAAACTCAAGGCTTCACACCGACGTCTCTAAATTAGCTACGTTACTTGTTAAAGAAATTCAACTCCTCATCCGGGCAAAGCTTGCCGGCCTCGACCGTCTTCATAATAGCACCAATCTAAATTTAACTTCTCAAAGTGCTCCGGAAACCTACCTTGCCTCTTGGTTTGGTTCTTTTCAGCGGTAGTCTATCTCTCCGAGCTTTTGATTCCTCTCCTTGCTTCACTTTAGTTCTTGTCTTGTTTCACCTTAAATTTTAATCATTTTCATGTTTAAAGTGTATTCTCAAATGTCCCCTCTTTTTGAGGTTTGAAGAAAATGAATAAAATATATAAAAAAAAAAAAAAAAAATCGTGTTGGTGGCTTAGATTTCGTGCTTATCTTCGGTTGGTTATTGTTTGCTTTGTTCTTAGTTTTTGGTGTTGATCTCTTTTGTTGTTGGCTTTCAATTTTTTGTTTTGTATTTTTAGTTGTTTCTATTGATTAGTTGTGGTTTCCGGGTACTTTTCTTTGTTCGCCGGCTTAGTTTCCCTTGTTTGGGCTTTAGATTCCGGAAATATCTTTGTTTTCCGCCGGTTTAGTTTGCATTTTATATTGTATCCTTACAAATATTATCAATATCATGGGATGACAAAAAAAAAAAAAGAAAAAAAAAGCATATAATTAGTAAATTCGAGTTAGACATGGGCTAGAACTAGCTAGGCTCTAGATGTTGGACTCCGATCCCTTTTCAGATATGATGACTTTGCGTCCCCGACCCGGATCCGCAGTAAACGATCCGTTCTGTGGATTTTATATTAAATTATTAGGCTCCATACAACCAAAAACAGAATACATAAATCGTTGTCACGCCAGTGTAGAGTACAAACATGCCAATTGATCAGATAAATAGTACATATGTAGTGTACTAATTATTTGTTATTGTAGAAAATACGACCTAAAGTACTTTTGATCTTCATGGAATCCCAAACGAAGACAAGCAAATCCAGATTCGAAATGCCTTTCAATCCATTCTTTTCGCCTATAAACTGTTGCAAACATAAGAAATATATATGTATCAAGATTTCTATATATAACAAAGGAAAAAAATATATACAAAATCGAATAATATAAACTTGTTATACGAACCATGCGGTTCATTCGTGGTTTCTCGCCAAACTCGTAACATTGTGAGCAACAAAAACATGGAAAAAGTTACATAGTACAATAGACTATTAGCCATTGGAGAGATATATAGAGAGAGGAATGTGGATGGAGAGAAGATAAGATATTTTGCAGTTCTTTGCCAACACAATGGATTCAATTTTATAACTCTTCAAATGTTTGATCACTATTATTGATCATTGACCATTTCAATGAGTTTTTAATCATCAAATTAATAGCTTTAGGTTCTCACATTTATTTGTATATATATAGAGTATAGACTATAGAGTCTTTGCTCCCTTAAATCACGTTTTTTAGAAAATATATATGTTTTTGTTTGTCTTAACGTATGCCTAACTTTGGCTCTACCAACAAGCTATAAGGAAGGTTAGTAAATATCATCTGTCGCAGATGTTTCTTTCAGAAGGGTTTGAGACAAGAAACGTGTCCATGCATGTGTTTTGTAATATATATATCACCGATGCAAAACTTCGTATGTTATTTATTACGCCGCTACACTACACATGGTGTTGATGTTCTCTTTAGATTACACTGGATCTAAGTATTCCAATTGTCAGATTCCATCTACACGTTTGAATGAAGTAAATTTGAGAAAATGACATTAAAAAATCAATGATACAAATTCTGTTCTTTTTTATATATTTATTATATCTATGCTTCAAAGAAAATACAAATTAAACTCTAGAATAGGTAAACTACTCTAAGAATGAGTTTGAGGTTTCTCTTATTCTAAAATTTTAAAATGTTTAACCTTACCAAGAAACGAAAATTAATTATTAAATTTTGAAATAGTTGAGGAAAAATCTACTTAATTAAAGAACAAAGTGGTAAATTTGGATTAATTATAGTTTCATATTTAATTTATTTTAAATTAAAATTTGATGAACTCATTTTCATTTGAGGCTTTTAAATTAAAAGGCTTTTAAATTAGTCGTATAATTAATTTTCAGTATACGAATGGATACTATATTCACTGCGATTGAATTGTACTAACAACATCATTTGATTATAACAAATTATAAATATAGATCTAGAATGATTTGAAGAAGTTTTTTTTTTTCTTTTTTCATCAATGATGATTAAGAAGTTTAGTCAACTATTCAGCTGGGGAAAAGAAATTATAATTGAATACTCCAAAATTTTCATAAGAAACTCAACTCGTTTTATTAAATTAGAAAAATTAGCAAAAATTAGATGACATCCTCAACACACTAATCACGCCAACACCACACGATATATATACACTAACACTAAAGCATATAGTTTCCGTTTCATTACAAGAGATTCAACATGTCAAGAAAAATCCTCTTGCAAGTAGAGATAGAACCATAGCAAATTAAACAAAACCCTATGATCTCTATACTATTACCATCACACATACATATACATATTACATCATAATATATATATACCTTTGTGTTGCTAATATTTAAGAGAGGATTCATCATTTAAAGCAAAGAAAAAAAACAAAGACAATGATCTGATTTCAACGATAAGACTTAAGAACAGAGCCACAGAAACTGCAAACGACAGCTCTCCAAGATCTCCAATAAATAGGAATGAAACAAAATCTGGTCGAAGTCTTCATGTCGGCGATGCTCGCACAATGGCCACACCGTGAGCAAGTTCCAGCCGCCGGTTTGCTCCGTTTCACTTTCCTTTTCTGATCAACCAAGAAACAGAAACAAACCATTCTGAATGATCTTGATCAATTCTTCTTTGTCTTTATTAAAGATTCAGATTTAGAGCAATCAAGAACCAAAAACAAGAACGAAAACTCTTATAATAAGACACGGCCAGGTTTGGTATCAGAGAAGAATGTTCTCTGTGTCTTCTTCTTTTTGGTTCTTTTTATAATGTGGGTTTGAAGATTTTATAAGTTCTTGAATTTTGTGGCTATAAATAAATAAATAAAATAAAGGACGAGGAATTAGTTAAAAGTTATAAGTCATTCACTCGTGTACATGTGTGTGAGAGAGAGTTTACAAAGTAAATGAAAGTGAATAGTATTTTTGAGATTGGAGTCTTGGACGTACACACGTATAACCCACACTAAGTAACCTGTCGTTCAATGTTAATGTGAAAATGTATATTAAGTACTTGTACATATGTTCATTCTTATAAAAGTTTTCGTTAATTTTACTGTTAAACATGCACTAATGCTTTACATTATACATAACATAGCAATAATTGTAATTTGTTGTATGAAAATACATATTAGTTTTATAGGGAAAAGAAAGGTACGTAGGTTCGAACAAGGTCTCTACCTTCCGGTATTAATGTCATCACAATGAAGTGTTTTTTTTTCCTTAGTGGCAAAGGCTTTGGGTGTCATGAAGGAAGCGTGAGTAGCTTGACACATGTACAAAACAGTTGGGTGTTGTGTTTGTCATTGTCTCATGACAAAACACCTCAAAATTTTCCAATGTTTTCTTATTCATGATTGTAATATTTTTTTGTTATATTTTTTTCTCATTTCACCAACAATATTTGCATTTATGAATTCATACTTTGAATTATATAGTTTCGGTGACAAAACGGCAGCAGGCAGGTATGGCTATTTTTATATTGTTGAATAGTATAAAACATTCAATGTAGATTGTTGAAAATGGTAAGCCAATACTAAATTAATTAAGAATACAAATTTTTATAAACCAAGATTTAAAAAGGTCTATATATATCTCTTAGCTAATGTGGTTCAAGTTCGTAGTTATGGAGATGATGTGATTTTGATTTGATTTCTTGTACAAGTGTCTACATCATTATAGTTGGGAATATATCTTTTGGTGATATTTCAGTTTTGTGTGGCAATAGTTATATTAGAAAATGTTTAATTTCAGTCTTTGTCCACCATTTAAAATCTACTGGTTAAGATTATTTCATATATAAAAAAATACCATAAGCTATTTAATAATGACGACATTGGTTTTATAAGAATATGGTTGCTTTCAGAGAGAAAATCCATATCATTCATCAAAATATACAAAAAGGTTGAACCTAATCAAAACAATATATTAATAACTATACTGTTACAACCACTTGATTTTACATGTTTACTTTGATCATTCCACAATCCAGCATTACATAAACCCTTTCGATTAAGCTCCTATTTATAAATTAGTCACTCACCTTAAAGTCATGTGAGAAAATAATTCGATAGGTGTAGGTTAGTATCTTTGTTAAGTATGGTGAAATAGTTTGATCATCGTGCAAAATAAACACTAGGCTTACGTTGCGTTACGTCCAAACCCCAAGTCAGGCAACCAAAGCATGTTTGAAGCATGTGGTAAGCAACTTGTTAAAAGGACTACTTCGTGCCGTCTTTGATTTTCATATGAGAACACCATGTCGTTTCTTAACCCAGAGTGTTGTAAAGCCACGTCGTTTTCCTATATATAAAAGAATCCGACCTGCCGGAATCGAACCAGCGACCTAAAGATTTCCTGTCACAGACTACAGTCTTCCGCTCTACCAACTGAGCTAAGGTCGGATATTGACAATCATTAACATTATATCTACTATTAACTTTTTTGAATTAGTTATAGACTTGGGCCTAGTAGAAATTTATCAGTTCACTTAAGTTAATAATGGACTTGGGCCTAGTAAAAGAGTTAACTTAAGTGGGATTGGTGATAGACTTCATGGCCTAAAGTTAGATTAATATGTTTCTTAATTCTCAAGTCTATTTGATTTTGATTTTGGTAGTCGTATACTTTTTTTATTTTTTTATTTTATTTTTTTTGGTAGTCTTATACTTGACTGTAAAATTGTTATTATTTTCCTAAATCTCCTAATAAAAGTTAATTTATACAGCAACAAAAAAAAGAAGTTCTAATTTTTTTTTTTTTGTTAATCTTCCGTATATAGCATTTGATATATATATATGAGATTTGGTTTTTTAATTGACATCAAATTTACGAATCTAAAAATCGAAGATTATGATGTGGAGAAAACATATATATCCTAAAATTTTATTTTATTTTAAATAATGAGTACATATATAAGAAATATGCAAATTAACAGAAAATCGATTTAATCTTTATAAAAAAAAAATTTTGTTTGCTTGTTCTTTTTCTTTGGCAACAATAATTATAGAGATAATTGGCTATCATTAAAACTAAAATATGTGGAGAATTTAGACCCATCATTTTCGTATGATATATAATATCTGCATCACATATATTGATTTAATTCTATGAAAAGATTTTATAACTTTTTAAAAAAAACAAGATTAGTATTTTGTGTGTGTGAGAAGAATCTAGTATTATGTTACATGTGGACAGTTTCCCTACCTCATCCAAAAGAATCTTCTATTCTATTCGTGAAAAGGTAAAACCAAAAACTTCTAGCTCACACCGTAACGCTCCAGAGATTCTAATCGCAGCCGTTAATCACAAGTCAGACATATTAATAAAGTCAACAAAACATTGATAACCGTTAGATTATAATTAAACAACCGTAGCGGAACACAGCTACGTGGTAGAATCTTCACGACTCACATATGATAACGTCCGTTCAAATTCCCCAACTCGGAGAAACCGAAGAAGCGAGTCTGACTCTCTGAGTTATCACCGAGTCGACTCTGCTCCTTCTCCACCGTCTCCTCCATGGCTGCTGCTGCTGCTTCACTCCACACTTCAATCTCTCCACGTAGCTTCCTCCCTCTCTCCAAACACTCTCTGTTGAAACCTCACCGCTCCTCCCAAATTCTCCTGAGAAAGATAAAACAGAGGAACTGTGTTTCGTGCGCGTTGATCGGAGACGAAATCGATGTGATTCCGGTTCAGAGCCGTGACCGGACGGACCACGAGGATGGTTCGGTGGTGTTGATGAGCACCGAGACTGAGAGAGATGGTAACGAAACGGTGGTTGTAGGGTTTGGCGCTGCTGCGACGAGCGAAGGTCAGCTCTCTTTAGAAGGCTTTCCTTCTTCTTCGGGAGATGAGAAGAGAAGAGAGAACGAAGAAATGGAGAAGATGATCGATCGAACCATTAACGCTACGATCGTTTTAGCTGCTGGTTCTTACGCCATTTCCAAATTGCTCACCATCGATCATGATTACTGGCATGTAAGTACTGAACTTGATGTTTCTTGAAGTATTGATCATGATCAAGATTCTATGGAATTTTCTTGAGTCTTTTTGTGGTTTTGTGTTCTTAAGGGATGGACACTGTTTGAGATACTGAGATATGCTCCTCAACATAACTGGGTTGCTTACGAAGAAGCGTTAAAGCAGAACCCGGTTCTAGCCAAAATGGTCATAAGTGGAATTGTCTATTCTGTAGGAGATTGGATAGCTCAGGTTAGTACTCTTGTTTTTTACTTCTTTCTCTATGTTCCTCTGTTGCTGTGAGTTTTGAATCCTTTGATGACAATTTTTACCGATCTTTCTCTTCAGTGTTATGAAGGCAAACCGCTGTTTGAGATTGATAGAGCAAGAACATTGAGATCAGGGCTGGTGGGATTCACTCTCCATGGATCGTTGTCTCATTTCTATTACCAGTTCTGTGAGGAGCTTTTCCCTTTTCAAGATTGGTGGGTTGTTCCTGTGAAAGTTGCCTTTGATCAAACTGTATGGTCGGCTATATGGAACAGTATTTACTTTACGGTTCTTGGGTTCCTGCGTCTTGAATCACCTATCAGCATCTTTAAAGAACTTAAAGCTACGTTCTTTCCTATGTTAACAGTAAGAAGCTTACCTAATTCATCTCTTTCCTCTGTATCTTCAAGATTCAAGATTAAAAGTTAAAACATACTTTGATCTGGATGCAGGCTGGGTGGAAGCTATGGCCATTTGCTCATTTGGTCACATACGGTTTGGTCCCTGTGGAACAACGACTTCTATGGGTAGATTGCGTGGAGCTCATTTGGGTCACTATACTTTCAACGTAAGTATCACACTTCTTCAACTATCTTGGTACATTCTTGTTTTTTGAAGACAGAACAAAGTCTCTAAATCTAACGTTTTCTTCTCTGTGGTGTTTTCTTGTTTTCTTGATTTTAGTTACTCAAACGAGAAATCAGAAGCTAGAACCTCGGAATCTGTCATTGAAACCTCTTCAAGTTCTACCACATCCATTGAGCCCTCCAAGGTACTTACTACATCCCAAAAAAAATGAAATATCACTCTTGGCATATGACTCACAAGAACATTGATCTAAGATAAAGTCATGTTTTTGGTTTATAACAGGAATGAGAAAAGCAGAATTGCAAAATTGGGTCTTATCCCATCACATTGTATATATATTATACACAGAGTTCAGCCAATAGAGTGGCTAGAGAGATTTGAGATTGATACGGAGGAGATGAAGATATTCAAATGGATGTATCTCTTAAAGTATGTATGAAAAATAATTAGAATCTTGAATACACCCGAGAGACAATTTTATCTGATCCTTAGATTACAGTTTAATAAACAGATCGCAGTGCTCTATTAAATTTATTAGTACTGATTAAATTGTGTTATAGTGTAGGTTGCATGAAAACTTTTTCCAAAGTCCATTTTTCTGTTTTCAAAACGTTTCGGAAACAGAAACTTTTGGAAAAACTATAACGGAAACAAAAATTGGTCTTATTCCCATCACATTGATATTAACGTTTCTAAAACATTTCATATCTTAACATCCCAAAATATGTTATAGTACTGTATATGAACTTACTAAAATGTGCATAGAGGCTCGGCTAACAAAATCATTCAGCTGCCTTTTGAATTTATTAGATTCAACTTCATTACTTGCCATGGTTTCCCTTTCTTAATTAAAAATTATAATTATTTGAGAATTATAATTAAAGAGATGAATTGTTTCTTCCTATATAAAATTGTATTCCGATTTCTTCTACTCAGGGAAACATATCTGCCTTTTCTTTTGTATTTATCGATTAGACAAATATCAAATTTGTATTTCTTCTTGAAATAGGGAAACCTACCTTGTCCTTACAGAGCATTCAGGGATACAATCATGCAAAAACAAGAATTAGGAAGTGAAATATTCTATCAGAGAAATATTAGTTTTTATATCATTTTGAGGGTAAAACCAATCTAATTTTTGTTCCATATTTGGATTTGGTAGCCACTAGCCAGTCATATATGTAACAGAATTATTTTCAAGTAAGAGCCACAATACTGTATGTCGTTATTCCAAAAAAAAAGAAAACGTTCATTAGCAATAATATTCCAATGTCAATAGTTCTTTTTTTTTTTTTGTCATCATCCAATGTCAATAGTTCATGCATGTAATATCTATTCATGTGTATATTACATTTGCGTATATTTTATATCTCGAGAGTTCAAACATCTATTCATGTGTTATAACTTATAGTAACACTCTAATGGAGACATATTAAAAACGTTTGAAGTTTTCCATTACTTGCATTACGATCATACATACTTATGTAACATTTTTGCATATATGAGACGAAATATATATATTTGCAGGCTTGCAGGCTTTGCAGCACAACATGTGAATGTTGAAGCTGCTGATGATTCTACAAAAAAAAATGTGTATAGCTGAAGAAAATACAAATAAGTTTCTACAACTGTTAATATGTTTTTTTATATATGCCTCTCAGTTTATACAACAATCTGCAAACACCTATACATTAAGTGAATAATAACATTTATAAAGAAGAAATAAAAAAACATTTGACCTATCATTGTAATTTTCTATATGTTTGCCTCACTTCTCCAATCTATTTTAACCGTATAAAGTAATAAATCAACCGTAATTAAAAATAACCCCAATGCCCCCTAACATTACTCAAACCTTATACACAAATTTTTCAAAATATAAAAATCGAATTTTGTTTTGGTTTTTTTCTGTTTCTTCAAGAGTACCAATTCATCAAACCAGGCAATTGGTAAATCCCACCTTGATTCTGCATTAGTGGCGTCGTCGTTGCCGCCATTGAAGAGACGATATTCGAACAATCTCCACCGTTAAATCTCTTGCTAGGTGACGACGACGTCGACGGTCCAATACCTGAATCTTGATTTAGACTCGTCATCATCATCACCGGTGGAAATAACTGTTCCTGCTTCGATCCAGACGCGAAGTTGTTATGATTCATCGAGTAGTTTCCGCCGCCGCCTCCATCATATATAGCCGTCGGATCATTGTTATCAGAAAAAATCGCTGGGAAGTGAAGACTAGGAGGAACATGACGGAAGCGATCATCATCAATCATCATCATATCATAACGATGATCTTTATCATTATGATCTAAATAATAATGATTATGATGATGATGATGTCGAGATGTTGTTGTGCTATTGTTTTTCTTGTAGATGCGACACAACACCCAATCATCAAGCTGTAACATAGTGTTTTATAATAAAACAAGAATCAATATCAACCAATCAAATCTTTTCTTTTAAATTTAAAGGGATATTAAATAAAAAGTACCCGGAGAGAGTTTTTCTTGTTGCCGAAGTCACAGATATGATTAGGTTTATTATCAGTTAATCGATACTCATGCATGATCCAGTCTGATTTAACTCCTTTAGGTGGTTTACCACTGTAAAACACTAGAGCTTTTTTAACTCCGACTTTTTTATTCACTCCACCGCCGGTTGAAATCACCGGTTTATCTGTACCGGTGGCTTTCCAATAACCGGAAGTCGCGGCTCGGTTAGGTCTAGCGCCGTTTGGATATTTCCGATCACGTGGACTGAAAAAATACCATTCTTGTTCACCAAACGAAGCTTTCGCTGTCACACAAAACAAAACAAGATTAATAAATAAGAATTTAATGGATCTGTTGGTTTCTTGATCTTGGATTTGTTTGATTTACCGGGAAGTTCCCATGGATCGAATTTGTAAAGATCGACGTCGGCGATGATGGAGACAGGGAGAGGAACAGAATCAGCTTTGCGTTTGAGGTAGTGGATTACGAGTTCTTCGTCGGTGGGGTGAAACCTGAAGCCGGGAGGAAGGTTTGGCTGCGGCGGCGGAGGAAGACCACCACCGGAGGAATCTGTACTCTCCATTAGGTTGATGATCGGAGAGATTCTTGATTTTTTTTTTTTTTTTGGTCTTCTTGAAAAGAAAATGAGAAATGGGTGAGAGAGTAGGCGTTTAGTAATCTTGTTTTTGTTTCTTTTTTTAAATGGAATGAATAAAAACGACAAATCAAATTGGTCTTTATCGTCTGGAATCTTTTGTACGTACACCATCGTCTCCACTCGTATTTTTTTTTTCTTTAATTTCTGTTGGCTGCTAAATATATTTTTACAAAATATTTATGTAACGATTTATATATAACGCGAGTAATAAAAAAACCCATAAATGTCTATGGGATTTTAAGTTACACATAATATGGTATTTCTATTTTATTTTTTTGTGGACGATCAAAACGTATTAATTAATTACCGTAGCTATCTAAATCAATAGGTTTTTATTACGTTTTTACCTACTGTAGAGATCTAATAAATAATTTATAGGTGTGAGCTACGTAATAATGTAAATTATCAACACGAAAAGGGACAGAAAATAATTACTGTAACTTAAAATAACAGTAATCGAATAGTATGAATTTTGTCTTAACAGAAAAAAAAAATGATACTATTGTTTGAAAGCAAATATTTTAAAAAAAAAATATCATCTATGTGTAGGATGATTTAAAATTAAAAAAATGTGATTATATCATGTCATTTGTTTTTTTATCCATTTCACTAATTTATATTATCTATATGTACTTAGCTATAAATCGTATGTTATTTTATATAGAAACATTATATAAATACATATGTGATATATTTCCGGATATTTAGCAAGTGTTTGCGATGAATAATAATAATACAGAAAACCCCATAATTCAGCCGAGTTTAGTGTAGTTTGGTTTTGTACTAAAAGGAGATAATGGGCTATGACATATCGACACATGTACAAAGTATGATTAATCATGTCTAAAACTTGTTTAATTACCATACTAACCAAAAGCCAAAAGAGGGTAAATTAGAGATTTTTTAGTCGATAATGACTTTCTTAAGATCTCTTAACCACATGATGATGCCATTATATTCGTCAGTGTGTTCATTATATAGCCTCAAAGCTCGAAGTGTGGCTCGACACGACCGACCACGACATTGATATATATTGCGATTAATTAACAACGACATCAAATTTGTTTTCACCAAAATACACAAAGATAAAATATATGAAAAATTAAGTCACTGTTAATTTAGTTTCTTTTACATAAATAAATTATTTAATTTTATGCAACCCTGTAAGATTTTAAACAAACCGATTGTGAATAGTTATTGTTATATCAAAAAATATAAAATTCCATGTTTTAGAACTATATTATACACAATAATAATAAAAATAAATAAACTTTAAAAATAGAAAATAATGTTACGGTAATGATTTTAAAATAAACAGATCGATGTGAAATCGCATAAATTTTGTCAAGGATCATAGCTTCGAATAGTAGAATGTTTATTCTCTGAGAAAGCGTCAGGTCGACACGTGGAAAACTGTAAATTGCCACACAAGGCAACAAAAAAAAGGGATGATGTGGAAATGAATGGCGGGGTTCGGTTCGGTGTGGGAAATTTCAAATTAACTTTTTTTTTTTTTGTTCTTTATACGTTTCAGATGTCATGTCAAGCTTTAATTTGTCATTTGCACTTGTGACCACTTTGAATTATTTTTATATAAAAATGTTTAATAATTATTCTTTCCAAAATTTATCATTTGTTTATGCAGTGAGTTTAAAATTTATTAGATTCTAGTAATAATACAAAGAATACGGGTCTTTGACATTTGTTTTTTAGTTAAAACTTGATATATAAATATGATGAAATATTAGTATTATATTTTAAAATATTATATTTCTTTTGATATCACTTTATGATTGGCTCCAATAGAAGCGGTGCATCCCATTTTTTCGATATGAAATATACTATTTTGATAATTACTAGTCATGAGAATTTTACTAAAACTATATTCTCAATATTTTTTATTCCTTGATAGACAAAAAAAAAAACAACAGCAACATTTTATTCCTTTATCTTATAATTTTATTTTGTACTGTTTTTACTGTTCTTCTTCAAACTCTTTTTCGTATAATTATGTTCAGACCTAAAAGCTTAGTATTTTTAACAATTATTTTACATTTTACAAACATACAAATAGATAAAGGCAAAAAAAAATAATCCTTTTTATCTTTTGGAAACTAAAACCTCATATAAAGGGATAATTAAGGATTATTTTGAGAGGTGGCAATGGAAGGATCCGAATAACTTTTGTGGTCATTAAAACTAAATAAATAATTATCATTCAATCTTGACTTAGTGCAGATAAAAAAGTAGAGATATTTATGCAAAAGCGAAAAGATAAAATACTACTAGTTGTGTATCTAAAACTAGAACGATCAGCAAATGTATTGTCTATCCATCAGCTTGCCAGCTTTCGAATTGTGAGATTGTTATGAAATTAAAATAAAGACAATAAAGTAATGATGCTAATTGTCAAATTGTGGAGCCAGAGTGTTGGATATTCGATTCAAGAGTGTATATTAAAAAAAGTCATCCATTTTCCTCATTATCCATTTATCTAATCCCTATATTAGTAAAAGAGAAATATAAAAAGTGTTTCTGGGTCGGGTCAATTTAAGAAAATTACCCGAAATTTGTAATTGGATCTTTTAAAGTTGGATAGATTAATGGTTTTGGATACATACACCAGATACTTTCCAAATCTAATTTTAGGATTGTATTATTTCCATAACTAATTATAGGATTTACTAATATTTCTCTAACTAATTTAATACAATCTATTTAAAAAATATTATTCTTCTTTCACTTTTATTTGATATTATTTATAATTTATGATATTATAATATATCATATAAATATTTAATAAAAATTTAATTTTCTTTTGCATATGTTGCAATTTGAATTTTTCAAAACGGACATATAATACTTAACTACACTCGATTAAATATTTTGGACAATGCTTTAAAATCATTATAAGTATGACCAATATTAAAACCATTGTTACTTGAGCATATTTAAAATTTCAAATAGTTTCAAGATATCATAAGTAAAAGGTTCAAATATATAAAAATTTTAGAATTTAAAATATTGAAATATTTTTTTGAAGACATAAATGTAATTTTGGAGACATAATTTTTATTGATAAAATATATTATATATCAAACTATGTAAATTTTCGATAGTTCACGGGTAGTTTGTTAAAATCACAATTATAATGATAAAGCGAGTTACGAATAATGTTTTTTACGAAATGAATTATGTTACGGGTTGGACCTTCAAAAAATATATTGTAAACATGTAATTTTTACGTATATTCCTACTTTTACTACAAAAATAGTTAAAATGAATAGTTTATCGACAAATATTATTTCGTGCTGTTAAATTTTCACCATGTTTTTAATTGTATCAAAACTCAGTATATGAATATTTACTCGATTTTTCCTTTATTATTTTATTTAAACTTATTATAAAAATATATGATTTACTATAATCGACTGTACTGTAATAAAATTAAAATATAACATATTATAATCCGTTAAAAGTTATATATATAATTATTTCCTCCGCGCTAGAGCGCGGGTCCGAACCTAGTTGTTGTTTTAAAACTGTGGTTAATATATTGTACTTTTTTACAAGGAACGCTATTTTAAAATTGTGGTTAATATATATATTGTACTTCTTTTTATACTGTCTCTATTATATTTTTCAATTATTCGCTTTATTGTTGTTATCAAACAGACATTTTAAAATTCTGACCCAAAAAAAGAAGAAGACATTAATTAATTAATTTTAAAGTTTCAATAACAATAATTATCTTGTCTACGTACGTACGACTTCGAATCTAAAATAATGAATTCGTATTTCTCTTACAGCTGATAAATCTAGTCTAGTGTTGCAGTAATTAATTTGGTCCTTATAATTTGATTAATCATATAGAATTATCCGACAACAAGATTTGATATGTACATTAGTACATATATCCAACCAGGTAAGAAAAAAAGAAAAGAAAAAAAAGATGTTTTTTTGATTAATCTTGGAGATATGCATGTCCACACCGGTGGTTTATCTTTTCCAATATGAAAGTATTGATGCATATATACACATACTTTTAAAATGTCAATCAAAAGGTTCAAAAGTCTTTTTTTTTTCTAACATAGTTACATACATTGAATTATACATGCAGATATATATACCCATACTAACAAGCAAACCATGGAATTCGATATAACATATGATGGTGAAGTTGATCAGTTTTACACTACCAAATATATATAATGGTAGCCTAATTAACTTCAATCCTTATAATATGATTTTAATTTTGGTCATCCTGGTGAGTTTTTTCCTCGTAACAATTAACTTTTTTGCAATAAAAAAGCAACCAAAAGTGATCACTGATCAGTGCTCTAGCTATTCGAAGAATGTGGTCAAGTTTAACTTTTTTGTACCTTAGTTGCTTTGAACATGTGGTGCTTTATTTTTATTCCATAATTAGAAAGTCACTAGCTATTTTTTCACATAATCGATCGCATATAAATTAGTTGGTATTGGACTGCTTACTTAGAGCGATTAAAATATCTTCTATCAAAGTACCAATAGGGTTCTATACCAAACAAATAGTTCAGATAAACATTTTTTTATTTGAAGGAATGTAAAATGTATTCATACAAAACATTGGTAGCATTACATATGTTTTATTGTTAATAAAAACTATAAGCCTACTTTTTTTTTATCTTTAAACCCTTGCTTAAATCTCATATATTTTCTTTTAAAATAGATTCTATTTCTTACTTATAGTTACGAATTTTATAGTACAATATATTAAGTTGACGTTTTCATATATTAACACTAGCAAGAAACTATTAATATTTTATCTATATGAAAATGTCAACTTAAGTATTGTACATGAAAAACAATCCGTTTCCTTATGACTTATTGCAGTTTTATAATAGTTAAGCAAAAAAATAAATATATATATATATATACATATAAATATATGGAGTCTAAATATATGAATTTAACTTAGAATTGTATTAATATAAATAATAGAAGAATTAATTCCATTAGTATTAATATAAATAATAGAAGAATTCATCGATGATGTATACTCCTCCCAAAAGATTATTAGCGATAAACACATTTTTCACTCAAAAAAATGGCAGAAACTAATTTGTATAGATTTGCTGAAAACATGTGGGATGAATGTGAAAAGGCAGAAGGTAGCCCAGTTAATTGCTTGATCCGTCTTGCAAAGATTAACATGTTCAATGGTTAGTCGAAAATAAAATATTTGCAGCAATTAGCTAAACAATGTTTTCGGACCTTCCCACACAAACGTACAGGAGGATGTGGCAAACTATTTTAATCGTATTTACTTTCAAAAAGGGACTGAAGGTGCTCATTTTGTGTGGGAAGCTCTACGTTGCTCTCTCAAAAGTTACTTCCAAAAAGGGACTGAAGGTGCTCATCGTTGATAAAGATGGCAAACCAAAGAAAAAAACAACCAATGTGTTCTTCAAAGAAGTGTTCAAGAACCTTTAAATTATAATTCTCCATTTTTTCTTTTCATTTCCTGCATGTATGACTTCGGTTACATTTCTTTCAATACTATCTTCAAGACTTTCTCATTATAAACTTTAGTTTTCCAATTCAACAATTTCTATTATACTACTCCAGTTAACAAATGCTGTCATTAATCCTTCAACTAAATGAAATAAAAAATTATAAAAAACCAAGTCACATTACATTATTTAAGAAAACTAAACTAGTAAACTATGTTTTGAAAATACACCCGCACGTACGTGCGGATCATCATCTAGTTTTCTTTTAAAATAGATTCTATTTCTTACTTATAGTTACGAATTTTATAGTACAATATATTAAGTTGACGTTTTCATATATTAACACTATCAAGAAACTATTAATATTTTATCTATATGAAAATGTCAACTTAAGTATTGTACATGAAAAACAAACCGTTTCCTTATGATTTATTGCAGTTTTATAATAGTTAAGCAAAAAAATAAATATATATATATATATATATATATATACATATAAATATATGGAGTCTAAATATATGAATTTAACTTAGAATTGTATTTCTTTTTTTGTAAAATGTAAAAAGATAATACATTCTTCTGTTAGTTGTAAATTTAATAATTTGCTACTATAAAATGTGTCCTTGTAAATTAAACTCTACTAGAAAAAAAATAGATTCAATATTCTAGACGTACATTGTGACGTCACGCGTATGTATTCAGTACATCTAGAGAGGGGTGATTATGTCCAGAGTTAATTACGTAAATTGCCGTAAAGAAAAAAAAAAGAAAGAGAATGGATTTGGATTCTTGTATTAGTCGTATGCTTTTTTAACAAATCATGTCTTTGTTTTAAAGCTTAGTTTAGGAAAGTGATTAAGGACCGCTCCTTAATTATGCTGTGTGTAATGCTTTTGTCAGCTATAAGTGATTAGTGATCTTTTCGAACCACCCGTCGTATATCACGCATGTGCAAAATACCACAAGCCATACAAAAATAATATAATTATTTTGTCTCGGTTAAATGTATTTTTAAATTCTAATCACAAATGTCATTGTTATGATTTTAAGATATTGCGTTTGCTTTGAAGTCTAACCACAATCGAATTAATTAATACAAATCCCCTCCCATCTCGTATATTTGAAGCCAAAAAACCCTTTTCGCGTGTGGTGTGGCTAAATTGATAATTTTGGGAAATTAGTTTTTGGATGCATGTGTGTTAGACTTCAACACATATCTTACCTTATCAGACTACTAATTAGTAATTACCATTGTAAAATACAATTTAATTGTGTTTGTTTTTAGGTTGATGGATGCATCATGCATGGGTGCATGCTGTGTTATGCATGTCAACATGATAATTAACTTAGACATAACCGACAACTATAGGATATATAAAACATCTGTTTTATTCAAATATGAGAACTCTTAACTATATAAATAAACTTTTCCCCAAAAAAAAAACTTATATAGATGTATTTTTACAAAAATGCAATTATACTTGCTTATATACATGCCTTCATCTGAGTTTTGTTGAGCTCCGATTCTAAAAAGAAATTACCAAATATTTTGCTATATCCTAACCTGAATTCTGCTTTGGGCACGTCCATGGGCCAATCAATAGTTATTATCTCTATGCCGTATGTATCATACAAACTGGCCTTTAAAACATATCTTACCTTATCAGACTACTAGTACTAGTCACCTTATCCAAATTTTAATGGAACTTGTAAATATGATTTAATTTTGTATGTTTTTGGTTGGATGCATGTGTGTTGTGTTATGCATGTCAACATGATAAATAACTTAGAAATTTCCGACAATCGTAGGATATGTGATTCAGCCATCTTGAGAGCAAACCAAGCTAATTAAGTTGATCTAGATATCTAATGATGGATCTTTAGATTCGACCATTTTCCGACTATTGTTTACATGTTAGTATGTTACATTACCATGGTTCTATATAAGAAGGTTTTCGGAAATACATAAATGGGTTTGTTATTCCGAAAATTCTCTTACACTCAAATTATAATAGAATCATTATAACTCGATGATCAGTGCTAAATTTTGGGTATTCTTAAAGATGATTCAAGATCCGATATATGGTAAATGCTAAAAAAAGAGAATTCATATAAGAAAAAGACTAACCGAAATTTTGTATGCATTGCATTTATCGCGTGATTCTTATTCAATTTCATATGCGTTACATCGATTTGTTGCGCAATACCTAGCTACATCTGTTTTACCTTTTTCATCTTTTTATGTGATCCACTTGTTTATGGACCATCTAGAGTTTACTTTTATCATTCACACCGTAAATGCAAAGGCATATACAGTGGATCCGCAATAAACATGTGTTTGAAACTTGTACGGTATAAACTGTTTGTTTCTCTACAATCTCTTGTCAAGCTGGTCAAACAAGGAAGCCCACTTTTGTTATACATACGCCTAACTTCAGCTACCTCATCGCTCCACTTTCAAATACTAATAGATATGCAATTCCAATTCAAAAGCTTATTGACAACAACAACATAAAAAAGGTCGCGAAATCTAGACATCAATATTTCTAGGCATGAAAGATTACAAAACTACATCTAAAATCTATGAGTCTGCCTCTAAACCCCAAAAGAATTGAAAATTCAAATACATAAGATTTTTTCCGCGTACGGGACAAAATTAAATAGACGACTTATTTTTTATTTTTTTTGCATGGCCTCAGCATTGAATCATCAAATCATCACATAAACCCGAACCTACCCGAATACTCTAACCCAACCGGGTTAACACCATAACCCGAGTTGCTAAACCCGTGACTGCTTTCGACTTCCTCCTCCATCTTGAGATAGCCACAGTTATACTCGAGACTAGGAACAACATGACTCAGTCCGAGTTCTGGCACCGAGTTATGCTGATCAACGTTGCCAGCAAAACCACCCCAGCCGAAGCTCGACGTCTCCGGTAAACCGTTGAACCCGGTTTTCTCTTCGGTTAAGTCCGGTCTGAGCGTAGAGAACTGGTTTTGGTTAGAGAAGTGGAAATCTCTGTTATCCATCTCATTATGATGAAACGAATCAAGAACGTCTTCGAAGTGAGATGAAGACGACGTTGTCGACGAAGTAGCATTGTTGCTAATTTCCATACCACTAGTGATTGCATTTTCGTAAACTTGTTTTTGTGCACTTGATTGCTTTTTGTATATTCGACAGAGAACCCAATCATCCAACTGAAAAAAACAAAAACAAAAAAAACGTTACACAACTACAAGAAAATATAAGATATAGTTTTAAGTTTTTACAAGAAAATAATACTATATAAGGTATAGTAGTAATTAATGTTTTACCTTAGAGCTTCCGTTTTTGCGAGAAGGTTCAATGAGACGATACTCATGCATGATCCAATTGGTTTTAGTGCCTTTAGGAGCTTTTCCGATGTAAAACACCAAAGCTTTTTTAATACCAACTCTTTGTCCTTCCGTTGATATTATTTTATCAGTACCCGTAGCTTTCCAATAACCCGATCCGGCAACCCGATTCGGTCTTGACCCGTTTGGATATTTTCTGTCCCTCGGACTAAAAAAATACCATTCTTTTTCTCCAAATAGTGCTTTACCTATATATATAAACAAATTCACACCAAGCAAAATTATGAATCTATGATAAGAAAAGTAAAAGATTGTTTCCTTTACAAAAAATATGGTTAGTATAACATACTTGGTAAAACCCATGGATCGAATTTGTAAAGATCGATCTCGGCGATGAGCTGAAGAGAGAAATCGCAACCGGCAGCTTTCTTGCAGAGATATTGAACCATAAGCTCTTCGTCGGTCGGGTAAAACCGGAAACCCGGTGGTAAACTCAGTTGGACTAACGGGTCGGTTTCTTGAAGACCCATTTTTATATGTTTCTCTCTAATATGTTACTTATTTTGACAATAATGTTTGGATCTCAATGTGCTATACATATATATATATACACATAGAGATGGTTTGATATTTTTCTGAGGGTATAGGTGAATCCACCGCCGCTAATTAACGTGTGTACTGGAACTAGGGCCCATTTTTGTGTTTATCTCAAAAACACTTTTTGAATTCTGACACGTGTGTCAGTTAGATCGTCGTGATTTATGCTAGTTCCCCCCTTGAGTTCATTGAACCTACCCGAACTGATTTGGCTCTTCCTCGTACTATTTTTTTAATGTTTTCTTAATTTATTTTACTTATTAAATTTATAAGTCTTTTATAAGGAAAAATAAATTAAGATTTTTGAATTTGGTAATTAGACATTTCGACTGGACACATATATATAGCATCTGACTAATTAATTTGAGATTTTTTTTTTCTGTAATATTTTTTAAGTAATATGTAATTTTTTAAAAATCTTTACAGGTACTTATTTTTTTCTATAAATATATCTATTTAAAATTACAAAATTTGAATGGTTAACATAGTAAGTGCTAGTAGACATCTAAACCAAAAAAGAAATTATTGACTTTTTGTTGGTTGATTTAATCAAATTTACGAACCGTCCATGCAGTTTTGGTCGTCTATATTATTAGTCAGTCGTATATAAGATATAGTATACGTGTAGGGGCCTGAATTTTAGAACAGAGGAAGACAAAAACAAGAATTAGCGTAATGATTGAACAGTAACCATGGCGAAATATATACGAGAGAGAGAGAGAGATATTTCACGTGTTTTTTGTTGACGCGTTTCTTTGAAATGTATATTTGCCAAATGTTGTAACAAAAAATATTAAAGAGAGGACAGTTGTAGTGAGCTGATAGGTTTGAGGTATAAAGGGCTTCGGACAAAAACGAAAGGGAAACTGTTCAATGTACCTTGAGGTTTACAGAACATGGAAAGCGTTTTCCATACGGACAAAACTGCAAACAAGACGACACGTGTCCACGTCTCTATCGCACAAGTTAGGCCCTGTTTTTTTGTCATTTGTCCAACAAAAAAAAAAAAAAAGACGTTATAACGATGGACGAAGGTACTACTCACGAACTTGATGTTGACTAAAGATTTTTTGTTTCAATGAGTAACATTAGCATATCAATTGACTGGTTTAGAAATTGGATGTTAATTGTGGTATATATATGAAAAATCCATATTATTCTCAGAATATGCTGTTTTTTAATAGTTGAAAAGTAGTACATCATTGACTAATTTAGCATGTTAAAAATTCCGCATTGAACCATTAGATCACATAGATCCTCCACCGATTTGGTCAAATAATTTTTTTGAAACCCATGTTTGATAATATATACAAAAGTGAATTAAGTACATATAACAAATATAATGTTTGGATAACTTTGATCTACATTTGTAGCTAGTGTGGATTTTGTGGTATACTAACAAGATGGGTTTGCTGCTCCTTTATTGCTATTCAAGACATTACCACGTTTTCAAGCTCGAGTTGTTGAATACAATATAATTAAGAGCTATGCTTTGTACTGGTTGAACTTTTCTACAATTTGTTCTTTTTTCTTTTCAGATCGAGTATATGTATATATTCACCAAAATGTACACGAAGTCTGCCTACAATAGAGTCGAAATCGGAATTGTCTCTAGATGGCTAGCCCATACCACTAGTTCACCTACTATATGCCATGCATATATTTAGATTGTGTTTTATATCATGTATTAATGTAAGCTTTCATCTGTTGATCAGTGATTATTCATAACTAAAATTGTTTTGCGAATAATATTTTAATAAAATTTTAATAGAATTAAGCCTAGAAATACTTCGTTGCAGGACTAATATCTATACTATTAAAGCTGAAGTACACAATGAATTTACACTATATTTTCAAAATGAAATAATTTTCATTCCTAATTGGGTTAACACGCGGATCTCCTCAAACTAATGGATCTTAAAATCGGGTTTAATTATTTAATCACAACCGTTAATTGTATACATTTAATCTAAATCGTTCATTTAAAATTTATTTAATAAACGTGGTTCGTAAGATCAAATCTTTACTATAGATGATTTTACGAGATATTGTGGATTACCGGTTTGATAATCTTTAAGAATCTTATCTAAAATATTATCTAAACTTTATAACGTATACCTACAAAATAGGAAATTATATATAGAATGTTAAATCTCAGCCGTTAATTTATATAAAACCAATCACAATCGTAAATTTATATAATTTAGTTTGATTATCTATTTACTATTATCCTCGATTGACTATTGTATATATAAAATATTCTACAAATCATTTTCGTCTATCATTTACACAAGGTAAAATTACCATGATTTTGGAGATTTTGTATTCCTTAAATCAACCAATATTGTTAACAATATATTTTCTTAATCATATTGAACTCTATAAATTTAATCCTTTCTTCGGTTCTGAATCATGCTGAATTCATCGCAACCTAAAACATCACATCACAAACAAATGTCTATGGTTCTTCCTTTTTTTTTACACCACTTAAATATCTCAAACCTTTTAAAAACTAATGACGTATCTAAGTCAAAATTCTTCATAGTTGGAGAATGTTTTCTGCTAACTAGGTTATTTTCTG